TATTGTTAAAGTGTTTGATTGGACCGAATTAAAGCATAAACTCGGCACAGTCGGGGCCCCCTTTGCTGGTCCGAGCCCTCCCGATTTTTGCCTGACCTGGCACTTAAAAACAAGCCAGGTAAGGAGCTGCTTTGTTTTATCAATAAGACCTTGTTTTCATGGCTGGTCACCACCCCGGAGAACCAATCAATGGGGCGCGCTCTGCTATCGCTGTGAGAGAAATGAAAAATAAACCCCAGATAATCCTTCAGTTAAAGGTTACTCGGGGCGATAAAAGCTATTTTGTTAATTTATTTACTCTCTGCACCGGAGAGATAAAGAAAAGGAACAATTAGGGAATTCTAGGTGAGAGATTTTTAAAAGGGCAATGACATTGGGTTAATATTTTATAAGGCCTGATTGGCAGAGACCTGGAGAGGCCTTTTGTTTACACAAGCCCCAGACGGAATGATTCACTCGCTTGTTTTGACCGGGGCGGAAATGGAATAAATATCTTCATCCCTACCTTTTAGAGACGTCAAACAAAAGACCGAGATAAAAGGTTAATGGCTCAATCATACGCAGCAGGAAATAATATTGTGCTGCTTTCTCTGCAAACCCGAGTCACTATTGACATAATCAGGTTGAATTCCTGAAGATATCCGAAGATGGGAGGAGCGGGAGATTTCCGTGTGTAACTGAATCCGCTCACTCGGGCTAAACATTACATTTGTGGCTTCAATTGATTTATAGCGGATCATAATCGCTGCATTAACGGCGCGCTGGGTAATAAGATCTCCGTCACTGCTGCCGTCGACAGAAAAGAGTCCTGATAGTGAGATGTCAGAATTCTTTTTTTTTTTTTTTTTTTGCCATGAGATCTAAAAAATAAGAAAAGCGCCCCCTGATATCTCACGCGATATTATACCTCTTATTACGCCCATCACCTCGTGTCGGCTTCCTGTAAACGGGGCGAGAACGTGAATTTAATTATTGTGCTTTTATTGCATCGCAGCGCTGAAATTGGAACTCGTGCGGAGTGTATTGTCGGGCCCCGTGTAATCTGATTGCCCGCGCGGCGCAGTGTGTTGGATGGTATCAGGTTCCAGCCCGTCTCTGCTGGGTCAACACACGGCCGGGGCCATTAAAGGAAGTCTGGTTCAGGGAAAGTTCACCGCTGTTTTCCTTTCACCATGGTAGCGAAACACACACACAAAAAATAGAGGGAATACATGCGTAACATATTTGTGGCCCAGGCCCAGAGCTGGTGGGGGCCTATTTTGTTTCCTTAATTGAAGCCAGAGATATGAGCGCTCTGAATATCTTCAGTGTAAATATAAATAAAGCAGGGAATAGAATTCTTTCAGGATTGACCTCCAATACAGAAATAATATTGTCCATTTTCAAAGCCCAGATGTTCCTATTTTCTGAAACGTTTGGAAGTGCAGAAGGCATAATGAAAGGAAGGCGAGGAAGATTAGAGAAGACATGAGGCATGAGAAGAACCAAAAATTCCAATCATAAATCCAGTTGTGCTATCTTTTTTTTGTTGCCACGATGGCCTAGTTTGGAGCCGTTTCTGTGCCAGTCTATTTAGGGAATCAGCATCTGCTGCTTGATAAATAGCCTGGCTCTTGTTTCAGGCCAGGTTGAGTTCCTCTCTGGACTCGGCTTATTAGCCTGGATGGATCCGACCGCTGCGGATCCGCAGACGGACGTTAGCGCGCACGCTTCGAAGAACTAAATAAGACGTTGTTAAAGCGCATCACGCCAAACCACGTGAAACGGAAGGCTGTGATAAGATGGAATAAAAAGAGGAGATAGCCGCTCTGTTACACAGCAGACACCTGCTGCTGCTGCTGGCTCGTAGGGAAACGAGGCGCTAACCTTCATTTGTGAGAGGCCTCCCTGTTGCTCGGAGGTTCCCTCGGTTCAAAGCTCCCTGTACGGTCGGTGTGTCGAGTTCACGGCCGGCCTGCGTCGTCTGTGTGCAGAGAGCAGCTGAAACGCTCCCCCTTTAAACACCGCGGACACAGTCTCTTTGCAGCCTATCTAAGCATTACCTTTACTTTAACTGGCTCTTTGTACCCAAGTTCACATCTCTTTGACATGATCTGAGGTTGATGTGACATTTCTTTTTTTTGCCATCCGTTTGAGGGCCTTTTTGCTTTTAGTATTGTTGGTAAAAAGCCTTTTTACCCATCACATACCCTCTATTGAGGTCTTTCATAAATAATTCAGCCGGAGTACAAGTGAAAGTGATGACAGCAAAACTGTGTGCGATCTCTCCCTCTCATAAGATCAAAGAGGTGCTTCTATAGAAATAGGAATTACATTTCCAGACGTTCCCAGGTTGAGCAGGTGCTCATTTCTCCCTCTTTCCTTTTCTCTCTCTCTCTCTCTCTCTCTCTCTCTCTCTCTCTCTCTCTCTCTCTCGCCTCTTCTTTCTATCACTTTTTGTATCTTCCCCTCCGAAGGGACACAGTCGGGTGAAGGTCTGCTTTTAGTACCTAAAACCTCCGCAGCCGGCATTTGAGAGAGTCAGCACATTCAGACAGACAGCGCGAGTGCACTCTATTAGCAGGACTGAGGTAAATAAACCTCACAAGACACGGCTGAATAAATTCAACTGCTAAGGCGGTGTGCTATCTGAGCTGTAACACGCCGCATCACTTTGCAGATACTGCCTTTGGGAGATGTAGTGAAATGTACTGTAACACAAACAGCCTCATATATATACTGTACGGGGCTGATAAAGTCCTGAATGAGCCATCATTGTTTCAAAGAAAACAACAGCTCATGAGCTGAGCTGCATTGATTATTTTATTATATTCTTTTTTTAAATGAGTCATCATCTAAAAAGAAAAAGTAAAAAAACAAAACCCTACAAACAATGAATTAACAAATAGTGAAATACTGTTTTACTAATGAGTGATCAGTAAAAATAATAATAGTATCCATAAAGATATGTTTGTGGGGACAACAGCTTGCACATTGGCACAGGGATGCACCAATCCGACTTCTTCAGTCCCGATACCGATGCCTGGGTTAGAGTATCGGATCGGTACCCGGTTTTTGCATTGTGTGATTAATAAGCTGTTTGCCTCACTGTGTAGTAGTGACAGGGATCATTCTTTTATGTGGAATACAACATCAGGCTCAACTTAAACATTGTTATACTAACTTTGTTCAACAAAATTGAACATAAAAAATATGTCGGTATAAATATACTGAATTGTTATTTATTAGAATTGACAGATCGACCTACTGGTACCAGGTCCAGCAGCATCGGTATCGGTGCCTCTCGGGCGGCAACCTCTGTTTCTGCTGCGTGAAGCTGACACGCAAGTGTCTTAAAACTTGCATTCTCTTTACTGGCCATCAGGGGGCGACTCCTCCGGTTATATAGAAGTCTATGAGAAAATGACTCTACTTCTCTCTTGATTTATTACCTCAGTAAACATTGTAAACATGAGTTTATGGTCTCAATCTCTAGTTTCAAGTCTTCAATACAGCATGATGTTCATTTAGTAAATTATGGTCCATTTAGAGTCAAACAGACCATAAAGCAGGGTATGCTTTAGGGCGGGCTTACTGTTATTGACGGGTTGCTACCGCTACCAGAGACGTATACAACATCTCTACGTCACTCCTCCGCATTCCAAATATGGTTAAATAAAAAAACATGGCAGCGGCCGTAATACAAGATGGCGACGGTAATATCGCAGAAGTTCAGGCTTCAAAACATCAGCCCACAAACCAACCGATGAAGTCACGACGACTACGTCCGCTTCTTATGTACAGTCTATGATGCATCTCTACGTTGTCACACCCCTTCAAACCTTATTAACAGAATAAAAATGAACTTGAATGTTTTTTTTTAAAGCTCATCCAACACGTCCCGGGTTTGATTTCCGGCCCTGTCCTTTCTCCTGTTTATCCGCGTACTTTCCCTCCCATAGTTACGCTGCACTACGGAAGCCCTTTGGTGCTTTAAAGATGGATTAAACTCAGCTCATATTAGGGAGAACTTAGTATCCCGGTAAAGCTTGAAAATGGACGATTGTATGTGAAATAATGTATGAAGCCAAGATGTCACCTGTGTCAAGTCGCCATAATTCATCTTCAGCCGAGACACCCAGCTCCTTGTTCATAAAGAACATACCTCTACGGCATCTTGGCCCCCTCATTATACTGCTTATTGCAGTTTTTTTTTTTTTCATACCCTGTAGGCTTTTCTTTGTAACTATAAGCCAGCAAAGTAGGTATTGATTGCAACTCGAAGCTGTATTAATAAGTGAGCGAGTAAGATGTGTGGAGAGTCAGGGTTGTATCTGCTTTGAAGGCCCTTTTCTCCCTGCACAGTAAGGTGGCACGGTCATTTATCACGGCTGGATCTGTGCCCCTCGTTTGGTGTAATAAAACTCCCCCATCAGAAACCGTCCAACAGGTCTGAATCACTCTGTCACACCACCTTCCAGCTAAGGCGCGCATTAAATCAAGCAAGCAGAACATTTCCTAAGGCAGCCATTGCCTTTTAATTTCCTGAAGAACCTTAAAATATCATTCATTACCAGAACTACACATATTTGGTTTTTAAAAGTCTCATAAATCAATAGTGGCCTGACTGCAATAATTATAACAAGTTAACATGTAATTTCCAGGCCGAGGGCCGCGCGGCCGGATTTTAGCATATGCAAACGAGGCAATTCAAACAGTGTGGGGATATTAATACGGGGGAACAGGTAACGAGGTACGGGTTATGAATTATGCATCAAAAAGTGGTTGATCTTCAATAAAGGAAATGAATTCACCGTGTAATCTAATTAGTTATGGAGGTCTATTATGTTGAGCTGCAGAAAGCAACTGTCCTTGAAAAGAATTGTATTTACAGTACATGTTAGCTCTTTGGAATGGAATTGCATTCTGGAGTGCTCCAAATGTTAACACCCCCCCCCCCCCCCCCCCCCGCCAGTCTCCTCCTCCTCCGTCTCTCACCCCTTCTCTGCCGTGTGTTTCAGCTCCAGACCGGGCCGACCTCCGAAGAGGTCCCAGAGTGTGACATCGCTGGAGAACCCCCACATCATGCCCCACTCGGTCCCCGGACTCATGTCTCCCGGCATGATCCCACCCACAGGTACGGCACGGTCCTGTCTGTCACAGCCGCTGAGGCTCTTAACTCCAACTGTCTGGGTCTGTCCTGTCTCCCCCTTCCTCTCTGTCACACACACACACAGACACACGCACTCACACACACATGCAGCCTCCCCACCAGTGGCCTCCCTGCAGCTCGTCCTTTCAAATGGCAACCAGTCCAAAGTGACACATGCACTCGAACCACCAGACACCAGCCTCTCGCTCGTTTACCGAAAACAGATCCTCGTGCTCAACCCGCCGGAAACCTAGGGGGAGGGAGACGGGGGGGGGGGGGAGAATAAATTGGAGTGGAGATCTTTTCTCTCAGATTATTCCAGTAGATGTTGCGTTTTTCGCCCGGAGTGCATTCTAATTAGTGCGATTAAATCCACTCCACTGGTATATGTACATAGGCAGTGATGATGCTAAAGCGAGTTTATCGCCACAAGAATCAACAACAAGCGCGCCCGTGCCCTAACGTACCCCTTTGGGCCGAGTCTTGTTGCAACCAGTGCTTTTGTTCTATTTGTGGCCGGGCTTCACTGCGACTGCTTTGATGTCGGCGGCTGTAAGTGCTCCGATTTGCATATTCCGCCTCTCCCTCTCGACGTCTTTTAACGATATTGCGCTGTCGAACGGAGCTCTTTGAATGATCATGCGGTGTACAGTACGCATTTAACCAGCTATTAACTGCAAAGAGATTAAACACCGCAGCTGGTTTTTCCTCGGCGATCTTGGCCGTATAACAGTTTTAACAGACTTTTTCTTGTTATCCAGTCTGGAAGTGTGTGTTTTTATTCTCTTTCCCCAGCAACATGCAGCGCCTGCGACGGGTTTTGAAATTCAGTATTAAGCACAGATTGGGCCATCCTTGTGATTCAGTACAATGGAGGCTCACAGGCCAGCGCTTTGAACTGGGGGAACAGGGTGAGGTGGTCACTGGCAGTATGGAAGACGAACTTAAAGGGGCCGCAGTGAACACAGAGAAGGACAATGATGAGAGGGACCCATGTTATTTAGTGGAACATAAAGCAACAGAAAAGCCTTTTGATATCATCCCCCTTTCAGCCCAGAGGGACTCTATGATCTTGACATTTAGTCGGCCTATTCGGGGGGTGTGGGGGGGGGGGGCAGAGATAAAATAATTGAGTTTTTTCGGCATTCTCATAACGGCCTTGAGCTTCTCAACTGTGGCGAGACGGAACTTCTCCATCAGTTTCTGTATTATAATTAAAAACCATTTATTGTTTTTGATTACGGCATTAAGCATCCAACGTCAAGGAAGTTAGAGATCTCGACGGAGTCATAATGGAGTATAATTGACCACACATAAGTTGGCATCTAAGTAGGCGACTAATTGATCTCCCTGTCATGCCCAAATGTACTGATTGATGATAAAAAAAAGAAGAAAAAGCGACGTTGAGAAACTGTCTTAACTAGTTACACTATCATGTCATGTCATATTAGTTCATGTTTCAGATGAGTCGGCTTCAGCAGCACTCTAACACTGCAGAGAAGGAGCGGGACACTCCCTGAAATCTTTAGTTCTCCGTCCTTTCTCTCTTGGTGTTAACATTTGCAAACGTACGACGCTGGCGCTCTGGCTCTCAGGAGTGTCTGATCGCAGCCTCGTGATAGGCGCGGGACATTTTCACACATCTCGTGGCCTCAAAAGGCGACAGAGCCAATGTTTGCGTTCTTCGCTCAATTCACCCCATGTTTGCTGTGATTTTTTTATTTCTTTTGTTACGTATTAGACATTGACAGAAATCATCTAAGATTCAAATCAATATTCAAGCATATTCCACACAGTGGAAAGATGTCTTCTCCTCACTGTAAGAGGACCAGAGAGGCCTGTGTGAAACACACTGTTAACATATGTATCTTTGCCCTTGACACCGGTTCCATTTAGAAAAAGGACATCTTAATATGCTTAGCTTTCCATTTAAGGGAAATACCTTCATACATACATACATACATATATATAAATAATATTATATACATACATATATATATAAATAATATTATATACATACATATATATACATACATATA